CTTTCAGATTTTAGAGAGACTTTTGATCAAAAATATCGAATGTGTGATATAAACAATTGAAATTCGCATAGAATTCTTTATCATTCTTATTTATATTCCTTGTATCAAATATGGGTTGAATCGGATCAATACTTTCTTGAGCCCTTTTACACCAATAACGCAAAGATTTTCGAACTTCCGGGTGACTTTATACTGCATTTATCGTCCATTATTCGAGTTATCCCAATGAAAATTATAGAACGTGTTTTACTCATAACAGTGTATCTCTGTGCCTAATAAACTTGTAGATAAAATTGGGCAAAGCTTGACCTAACCYCCGTATAATTATTACCAGGATTTCCAAACATCCGTCTGACTTTGCTCTATATGATTGGTGATTGTAYGTGAGGTAACTTAATGAAAGGTACTCAGAAAATATTCTTTTAGTATGTGGTATGATAAATAGATAGTTAATATTAACCAATAGATAAGTTTAGCACATATAAATTCACTTTCCGAATTGATGCTAGGCGCAGTGCATTTGCTTATGTTAAAATTTAGAAATGTTTATTACTCACATTGCTAACGTCTATCTAATAGGTTCAGTAAATTTTCTCTTTTCATATTAATAAAAAAATATTTTTTAACAACTCGACAGTTATTCAGCAATCGAAAAGCTTAAGTAGCAAAAGAGTTGAAATAAACACACACAAAAATGAACTTATGTTCTTTGACTCTTTACTCTTCATTTAAGTGCATGGTGTGCATGGTACATGMGATGATATCACTTAACATGAAGCTTTGCTTACGTCGTAAGAACTTAATAAACGAAACGATGATGACTTAACACTCTTAAGTGAGCCATTTGAATGCAACTTTTCTCTTGGATGCTGTGTATTGTGCTCAAGACATAGTGCGCGACAGACTTCAAGTGGTAATAAAACGACAGTCATGTGTCAGTCGACTGATAAATGGAAAGCTGTCAGCGAAACGTCAAAACTAAGCATTTTTCAACAGATTAGGCGAACGYCAGACCGCACAATAGGGGAGATTTAAATGTCCTGTCTCTTCTTACAAAAGATCATATAGCAGGCTTCACAACGCCATTTACAGTTCACTGTCGTGCAGTCATGTAGTGTCGCTTTCTATGTGTTCAACACATATGTTTTACAAAAAAGTAAATAATTTTTTCAATTCCTTCAGATACCTCTTAGCGCTGGCGCTATAAAGCAAGCAGTTTTCTCTAAAYACATCAGTCTTTCACYAGCCTTCAATAGTGCAAACAGTTGGTGTTCTCTTTCAAAACTAAGTGTTATTAATATAATGGAACGTTGGCAAAATCGTGTTGCAGCCGTTACTGGTGCTAGCTCCGGCATAGGTGCTGCCACCGTTAAGGATCTGTTGAAAGCTAATATAATTGTTGTGGGTCTGGCGCGGCGCTTGCACCGTATGGAAGAACTGAAAGCACAATTACCCGCTGAACAACAAAAACGCTTTCACGCTGTCGCTTGTGATGTGTCATCACAGGAATCCGTTGACACGGCATTCGATTGGATCATCAAGGAATTGGGAGGTGTTGATATTCTTATCAATAATGCGGGTACTTACAAAAATGGACAGGCTAGCACTATGGATCCAGTGGTATTGCAAAAAATTGTACAAACCAACTTAATGGGYACGGTTTATTGCACACAGCGTGCCTTCAAATCGATGAAAGAACGTAATTTTGATGGCCATGTGGTTCTTATTAATAGTATCACAGGTCACAATGTACATGTGATATACGGTAGCAATGAGCCATCGGTGTTAAATGTTTATGGCCCGTCTAAGTTTGCAATAACCGCTCTCACGGAGGTATTGCGTCAGGAATATAGAGGACTGGGCACCAAAATTAAGATTACTGTAAGTATATGTTGTGTAACAGTTAAATATGCGTACATATGATATGTCGAGATATAAACATGTACATATATATATATTCTATATTCGGATAAAAGACCGGTCATGGCATCCATGACTAGAAATTAAACGGAAATTTTCCAATATTTTTTTCTGAGAAAACTTTCAAATTTTTGACTCAAAAATTTGTACATATATTAGGTATCTCTTAACTGTGTTTAAGACCTGTCTCTTATACACATCTAGATGTGTATAAGAGACAGGGCTAGCACTCAGGATCCGGCGGAATTGCAAAAAGTTTTACAAACCAACGTAATGGGCGTGGTATATTGCACACAGCGTGCCTTCAAATCGATGAAAGAACGTAATTTTGATGGTCACATRGTGCTTGTGAATAGTGTGTTGGGTCACAGTATACTTAAGCCGCTCAGTAGCAATCAGCTACCGATTTTTTCTATTTATCCGTCATCTAAGTATGCTGTGACTGCCCTCACCGAGATATTGCGTCAGGAATTTAGAGGACTAAAGACCAAAATTAAGATTACTGTAAGTATATTTTGTGTAACAGTTAAGTATGCGTACGTATGGCATGTAAAGATATAGGTAGGTAATATATATAGCTCATAAATATAGATGTATACATATATTGATACATAGATTGGCTTCGCAAACAAGACGTTTTGCGGTGAGCACTCTATCTCTGCACTGAATCCTTTGAAATTAAAAACACAAAAAGATTTCGTTAAATTAATGCTAAATCTAATAATTACTCAAAGRAATACGCGAAATAAAKTTTTTCACAAAATGGCYGTTTCTCAAACAAAAAGAAAGCTTAAATCGATTTTTGACCAAATTTCGGATTWAWYSKTTWWWAAAAAAAAMATATTTATTGATGAGAAAAAATCTTCGATTAATTACTAAAAAATATATTTAAGAAGCTCGCATTAAAAGTTGAGACTAATCGGTTTAACCCGTTTCTGAGTAATGATCAACATTACTTTAACGTCTTACTTAAACGTCGTTGAAAACACCATTTTAAGAAAAACGCGTTAAAAGYTTGGAATGCACTTACAAACACTCTGAAACGCTTTTTCAAATTTKTATGTAACTTCGAAAATATTCACGGGAGCAATATGAAATTTTAGATATACATACATCGTCACCTAAAAYGCAAAACRACGTATCATAAAAAAATGCAAATSGCTGTCAGATAAACACGAATTATCGCATTAGARCAGGCTATATCCTACTTATCTTCTTATAMAAGTACATATGCATATCCATATGCATTAATATRTATTATCTTTTGTGTTGTAGAGCATTAGTCCTGGTTTAACCGATACGGAAATTGTGGCAGAGCAATATAGGAGCGCTGAGATTACAATTCTGAAATCGGAGGAYGTTTCGAGCTGCATTATGTTTACACTCTCCACACCACCGCATATGCAGGTGCACGAGATCACTGTGATACCGCTTTTGGGCGAATAAATTCAAAAAAATA